CACACAGATACGTGGCATGCTCTCGAGTGGGCAAACCATCCAGTTTATTTGTGTTAGCTAAAGATGGAATGACAAAAAATATTGTACACTCCATTGCACTAAGAGATATATATTGTTGACTAATATTTTCAGAATTCTTTGTACATATAATTTATAAAAAAAGTTGCAATAAATTAAAAAAAATTATTATTTGGTGTGTTGTTACTTTCACATTCCGTCATCGTTCACAGCGCTCCATGCCTCTTCCACTCATATACCACATACGCACACATTTACAATAAATAAGATATATTTTCATACTCTAGAAATAATTCATATGGCAAAACATCGTTTGCCGGGTCAACTAGTATTTATGTATTGCTATTATATATTTTTTTTTTTTGTATATAAGTATAATTAAACACAATGCTTTTAATTTCTTATTAGAAAAAGCTTGGAGAATTTCGCGGATTCTGAAACCAATAGTGAAGAAAAAAAAGCTAAGAAAGAAAAAAATATATTTAAAAAAAAGAAAGAACTGATTCAAAACAAAAAAATTACATGCTCTATACATAGCTTTCAACGTCTAGTGCTCCTTCGCTAGGCTCATTTTTCGTTCGGTGAGCTTATGTATGAAATAGAGTTATTAAGCTTGACAAAAAGTATGAATTTCCCATTTAAGTATGGTATCGCACAATTTCTTACTTTAATGCTATTCATCCAATTTCTCATATTTTTGAACGATGTTTCGCATGTGACGTCATATACTAGAATGATGCCATCAGTTTTTCGGAAATATTGCTGCGTCATGCTTCGGAATCTGTTGTGAAGAAAACGGCAAAAACAATTAAATTATGAAAGAAATATAAATGACTTCATTAGTTAACATAGTTGAGAATTCAATTTTAAAATAATAATTAAATAATAATTTAAACGTTGCGAATTTAACCATACCTTTCTTGTCCGGCTGTATCCCACAGTTGGAGAGCTATTCTTTCACCTTCAAGCTCGAGAGTCTTTATTTGAAAATCAACCCCTAATAACATATAATATGCGTTTATTTCAGCAGAAGTTGAAAGTTATTTGTATTCACTAAAAATTAATTTTGTTATATTTTAGCATTAGGGTTGGTATAACAAATATTCAACTGCATAGAATAATTACCAAAATTTTATGAAATCTCTCCGGGCGACACTGAACAAGTTTATGAAATGATTGAAAAAAATATTTAATGTCGAAACATACTGGCAACGCTTCATCGGAACATAGTTCATTATTTGAATCTGCATGTGGTAAACTATCTTATTGCAGGTTAGTTATAAGAAAAGTTATCTGTTTAGAGCAACACGAAGCTCGTTATGGCTGATGGATACTAATGAAATTTGATGCATAATTTACATAGACCAGCGGAAAAAGTCTAAAATAAAAAAAATTAGCTCAAATTTTGACCTTGATGTGGAAAAAAAGATTCGTGTAAATAACAGAAATATAAGTTTGATTTGCAAAACTACTTAATCATTATCAAGAGTTCGGTTTGTATTACATTTTCGTCAAGCACGTGTTATAGCATGTTCAACCATATAACATGAAGAGTTTATTAATCTGTTGCAGCAACATGATGTGTTGTCTTTGCTTTATATCTAGTTTTATTTTAAAATAGACTTTAAGATTTTCCTGTAATAGACTATCTTCGTCTTTATAGACTTTTATCTTTAATAGACTTCTATCGTCTTACTTTAATAGACTATCATTTGCATATTTTTAAGTTTAATTATTACTAAGCATTCTTGCATCGATTATCATATCGTGCCATATTTTTAATCTTTTAAGAAATTCGATAGTTAAAAATTGATTCAGTTTAGACTTCGTTTTGTTGTCTTTTTGTCTTCTATATCTCACAAGAGCTTTTCTTTAGAAATGTAATAAATACTACTTTTTTAATAATATATATCTGTTTATTGTTTATTTAAAGCTGAAAGTTTTAAATTAGCTGTTAAAAATAAGTGATAAAATAATAAGAACATTACCAACTGTAGCACTGTATGTCGTTTTAAAACTATTCGTGCAAAACCTTTGCAAAATACTCGTCTTACCCACGCCTGAATCACCAACAAAAACCACTTTAAAAAGTCTTGTTGGCACACCCTCCTGCAAGAAAAATCACATTAAATTTGTAATAAAAATTTGAAGAAAGTTTTTATTTTTTCAAAATTTTAAAGCACTTTAAAAGTTGTAATAGCTTAAACAAAGTTAAAAAAAACTTTCTGGGACGATGATTTTATCCATGGTAGATATTACAATTTCGTAAAAAATACCCAAACAAAGTACTTTTACATGAACTTAATTACTTTCGCGATTTAGTACCTTTACTTGTAATTTCATTTTTAGTTAAAACGAAACAATTATTACTTACACCTATATAAGTTTTATTTAATTTTATAACCAGCTTTTAACAGTCGATCCGATTTTAAGTCAGCGACTATCAATGTAAACTCCATAGTCTTGTAATTTTGAACCCAACTTGGAAGACAGGGGAACATCTGGAACAAGTATTGGAACAAACTAACCTTTGTAGAAAGATTTTTGATGGAACTACTTCACATTTGGCTTACACGGAGAGGAAAACCCCAAAAAGCTCTCATGCCTGACACCAAAAGGATTCTCACCCATGATCCATGTAAAACTGAGAATATTTTACGCTAACATTGTGGACAGGTCAAGCCGGGATAATCTATCTATATTATATAAAACGCTAATACGTATGTATCAATAAAACCGATGATATTTCTTTTCTCGCATTGGCAACAGATTTTATTTTTAACTGATAGGCTTCGGCGCGCAAGAGCACGTAGTGAGCATATGTCTAATCGGGTGAATTCTCACCGAATNACGACCTGCACGCGAAGTCGAGCACTTTACGGTAGAACAGTTTAACGAGGACCAATACCGCACACCCTCAGTCCCTACCCGGACTAATCCAAGTGGTCACCCACCCGCACACTGACCGCAACCAGTGATGCTTGACTTCGGTGATCTGCGGGGAACCGCGTCATAATGATCAGTCCACTGCGGGATCTTTTGTAGAAGGATTTTTGATGGAACTATTTCACATTTGCGTTACACGGAGAGGGAAACCCCGAAAAGCTCTCATGCTGACAACAAGAGGATTCTCACCCTTGATCCATGTAAGACTGAGAATATTTTACGTTAGCATTGTGGACAGGTCAAGCCGGAATAAAAATTCGTATTAATCAACAACCAATGGGATTCGAACCCGGACATCTCGTGGGAGACAAATACTGTATTCCCTTGAGGCCCCTGTCATTGAGGCTCAACCAGTCACTATATTTTATAATCGGCGCTGAAAAGTTGACTCAATTCTAAGTTAACGACAATCAATATTAAACTCCATAGCGTTGTAATTTTGAACCCAATCTGGAAGACAAAGTTTTTAAGTTAAAATATTTTGTGAAGGGTCCGTTTTTAAGTTAAAATATTTTGTGAAGGGTCCGTTAACGGACCCAAATTTCTTCTAAACAGACCCCTGCATCCGTACAAAAATCATTCACGTTGGGGTTTTTTCAGCTGTGTAAGCTGCAATTTTAATGCTTATTTGATAAAAATTAATCTAATCAATTCGATTACTCAGTTCAGTTCTAATCAGTTGTCGAACTTGGAACATTTGATGTTAAAAAAATTCCCTCAAAAATCACAGCTCTAGTATTTTTTCGAAAAAAGATTGTTAAGTAAATAAAAATATTGATTAATAACTTACGTCTATTGATGTTTTCATTGTTGGCAGAATCTTTTTTAATACTGGAGGAGATGTTCTTGGAGAAGTTCGTCGTCTAGATGTACTTAGGCTTTTACCCCTAAAATAAAATAGTAGTAAGTTTTAAATATCCAATTGATGTTTTTTTATGAATAAAAAATTAAGCGAAAACCACATCAATTTCAGATTTTCTTTAAATTTGTTTATTTACTGAATTGCTGCTACGTAAAGAGTTGCGAAAAGACCGTTTGTTTGGGTTGCTTACACTTAAAAGTATCAAAATAGTTTTTTTAAAGTTTATTAAATTTGCAAAAGGTATAAAATTGTAAATTATATTATAAACCCAACGAATTAAACATGTTTAATACTATAAAAAACATGTTCTATCTCTTTTCAATACTTCTTTTGATAGCTACCAAGATCTTTCATGCCTTCGCTGTAGAGATACAGAAGGTTTTCTTGATAATTATTAAATTAACAGAAAACATCAAATTATAAACATCATGGTTTTCACAAATATTGCTGACAAATAAACTTAGGAATTTTGTTCAATACTTTATTAATTGAAACTTTATAGTTGATGCTTGATTAAGAATAACTCAGAAAACATTGGTTTGTGTATAGAAAATAAAGGAATATAAATACATCTAAAAAAATAAAATGTAATACGTACAGCAAACACTAACCTCGGAGCATTTGAGTTTC